GCAAAAGCAGAACAGGCTTCAAAAGAAGCATCCCTCAAATGGCCCCAATCCGTTTTTGTTTTGCGCTTGTCCTCCGAAGGCTTCAACTAACCCAGCTCTTTTTGCCGTGAGGCGTCCATAAGACACCCTTCAAAATGGGGACTGCACGGCTCTACATCTACCCTCCTCCCCCCCCCCCAACCAAAAGGCAAAACAAAAAACTTGCCCCCCGATTTCTCGTCTCGAGGTCCCAGCCCACTGCCAGGCGTGCAGCCCGGCCAGGTCCAGGAAGTTCAGAGCCAGTGCCACCTCGAGAGGGCGCGCCCAAAACTTGTCAAGATGCTAGCTGGGGCCGGGCAACAAGAACAGCTTCACCGGCTGATTTGGGAAATTCTCGGTTTTGGGATGTACCCTTCGAGAAATGTCTCGGATGATTTGGATGGACGAGGGATACAAACAAGCACCAAAACGGTGTAAGCCGAGCACTCCGCATCTTGGCATGGGAGCAAGGATGGACGTCCTATTTCGGGGACACGCGTTCAGGCTCCGCTTCAGGATCCCAGGGATTCACCCCGGGCATCGCTCGCGTGCCACAGAGATCCACAGAGGGCCGCCCCCCATTGATCCATTTGTTGAAGTTTCCCACAAGGCTATCCCAAACGGTTCCTTGCAAAAACCATTTCCCTTCGGGTTTTCAGAATGAATCGTTTGGGATCGCCTGAAAAATCAAACTAGGGATGGTTGACCATGTCTTTGTTACCTATATAGCAACCCCACACATCAAGGGGAGTTTCCCCCAAAATCAATGGAGTCCTTCCAAACAAAAATTATTCTAAACAGCAATTCGTGGAATTCTTGTGGAAATTTGGCCCCCCTGAGCTTTCAGCGGTTGTGTTTGGGACAAAGGGCTCCCTGCAAAACCGGCCCCCAAGCTTTCAGCGGTTGGGTTGAGAGGGCTTTCTCACGCCCACATCTTGTGTGCCAAGGCGCCGCTTGCAAAAGCAGCGTCACCGCCAGGGCCACCGAGGGGCAGTGGGTCTCTACCAGGGTGAGGCCCAGGACGAAGAGGTTGATGGCCTGCCACTGAGCTGCGCTCTGCTCCTTGAGCCTGCCTCTGGTGCAGGGCACCCTTTTGGGGCAAAAGGAACCACCCATTTCAGACCCCACTTTGATGTCCGGGGTTTGGGCTTGTGCGCAACATCTGCGAAACTCCGCCCTGCTCCCTTTCAAGCTCAAGTTCGTGATGGTTTTTGTAACCGAAAACTACGCCGACCAACTCGTTGTGCCGTTCAGGCCGCCGTTTCTGCCTTTCTGGTGATGTTTGGGGCATGCAGAAACCAACACCAAAGTTCCAGGCCTGAACGATCTGATACACGCCCAGGCTCATGCCTTGGATCATCTCAGGGGCCAAAGCAGGATTGATCCCATTCCGTCCGTCAAACCCCCTGTTTCGTTTGGATTGCCTCCCAAAGATAAATATGGAACGTGGCAGGGACTGCACAAGTTCCCTCTGACAGGGACCGTCTTTCGGGTTCCGTTTTTTCTTCTTTTCTTTGTGTGTGTGTGTGTTTTTTTTGGGTTTTTTTTTGGGGGGGGGTAATGAAAATGTGGCCGGGGGGAGTCCTGCCCTGGCATCACTTGGAGCAAGCCAAATGATTTGCAACCTGGCGGCTCACTCGCGCATAGGCATCGAAACACTGCCACCTCAGGAAGCAAGGATGCGAGGGTCAGAGAATGCCAAGCAACGGCGTGCTCGCTGAGGTGCGCACTTTGACTGCAGCTTTCGAAACATTTGCACGTGCTCTGCCGGCGCAGTTGACCTGAGCACGCAAGCGAGAAGGTAGGTGTGAGGCGGCGAGCAAGCAGCTGCCGAAGTCTAGAATCCTGAAAGAAGTGCTTTTGATGCGACGAGTAATATTTCTCACTCCCAGATAAAGCCCATGTGCGCGCGAACCCACAAACTGAGAAGAACGTGAGCTGGGCGACCATGCCAAGCACAACCGCTTCTTCTTTTAGTTCGCCTTGGCATTCCTTGGGTGGGTGGAGGAAATCATCAAAAACACAAAGCTTCAAATTGAAGTCAGGGAAGTCCAAGAAAAATGTGGCCCCGCACGCAGCGCTGGTCAGCACCTGGCGGGAAAGATCTGGCAAGTTAAGGAGGTTGTCCTTTTGGCTTCCTGGTTTCAAACGACCTACCTAATACAAGGGGCGAAACAGTTGTGCACCCCTGACTAAGTTTGGTTTAAAGAAGCCCCCAACTGGTTGTTTAGGCCTGGTTCTTTTCTTTTGCAAAAAAAAAAAAAAAACAGCCGCCTCCCAGTTCAAAGGTGCGATTGACAAGGGGAGCAAAGCCACCAGCGGTAAAGAACCTCAGCAAAGGTCTGGTAGGAACCCATTTCTGGGGAAGCACGATTTTGAGAATCCAACTGGCCAGGAGCTGCGATGGCCGCGCTACGTGTTTGGTGCTGGCATCCAGCCATATACTTTTTTGGCCCCGCCGCCTCCCGCCGACCACCGACGGGTGCAACCAGAGAACAGTTCATGCCCATCGCCCGCCTACTGGCCCTGTCATTTGACCATCACAGTCACCCTCCCGGTAGGCTAAAGTTGGACATGACCCCCCCAAATCTGACTTAAGCCGAAACCATCGAACGTTGCTGACAGGAAGTTCCACGCCGGGCCTTTTGGATTTTGGGAAAGGGGCCCTGCCACATGCCTTCCGGAAGAAAAAAGTGATTCCCCCCTTCCAAAAAAAATAAAATAAACGTCTACTTGCCTACTTGGGCAGTTTCAGGTAGGCCTCCCCTGGAAATGCACACACAAACACACACACACACACACACACACACACACACACACACACACACACACACACACACACACACACACACACACACACACACACACACACACACGTACGCTCGAACGGCAAAATGCGCATCTGCACGAACGGGTGCAGCAAGGAAACAAGGTACACGAAGGAAAGTGCTGGAATTTGCCTTTCAGGATGGGCGAAAGCCACCCTCAAAATTTGTGTGTGTGGTCCTTCCCCTTTAAAACTATCAAAACGAGGAACCCTTGCAAAAGACAGACCAATCTGGAATTGATGAGCCCTATTGCTTTTCTAGGGATGCTAGTGGCTGCATACCATTGTATACTCTTCCCTTCCCTTGAAATCTGAGGTTTAGGGGAATCCTCCAAACCCTCCAATCCAACCCGCCGTGCTTAGCCCGCCTTCTCCTGGCCAAAGCCAGCCTCCCCACGGCCCAGAAGATCCTGGCCGAGATCCCTCCTAGCCCATCCCAAAGGATCCGGGCCATAGATGGGCACCGAAGCGGAACTCCAATCCAACCATGACACTTCCACTCACACCCAAACCATCGGTAGGTCGTGGGCGGTGGAGTCCCTCTCAGAACAAACGGAAGTTGCGGTTCCGTACGTACCTCTACACCGATGATCTTTCGGTCCCAGCAAACAGTCCGTCAGAACAGCGCTCCTTGAAGGATGCATCCACCATGGCTGTCTGAGGAAAAGCGTGTTTTGTTTCCCTCCCCCCCTCCAAACAAAAAAAAACTCATGGCGCTTCCCCCCTCCTCTCTGAGCTCTCACTGCACGCGAGCTCTGCACCTTTTCAGCCGAGGCATTGGCGCGGTTTCTGCGGGGCTCCGAGCCCCAGCTCAGAGCTCGGAAGCCTCCTCCACGTCCTCCACCAAATCCTGCAACTTCTCAAGAATGGCCTCCTTGTAGAAAGACTCACTCAGGGCATGCCTGGGACGGAAAAGAACAAGCTCAAGCCTCACTCAGCGAAACCTTCCAACCCCCCTTTCCATGGAAGTGGACCAAGGGCCATGTCAAGAGGATGGGAATCTTCCAAACCCCCTCCTGTTCGAAAGCACAAACCACAAGGTGCCACCGACCTCGCTCAATTTGAACCTGCCACAAAGCCAACCCTCAAGCAGGCAGGAAAAACCGCCAGGTTCAAAACACACTTCCAAAATCCACACAGGCAACTGCCACAACCAAATGCGCTTTTACATGCCGGCTCCTGAATTCTGAACTGCCCCCCCCCCACACACACACACACACACACACACACACACACACACACACACACACACACACACACACACACACACACACACACACACACACACACACACACCGCCTACCCCAGTCAACAGCCAGGCTTCGCAGAATTTCGCTTCAACAGCCAGCCCCTCCAATTTCTAACACATGGCTTTAACAATCCCCGAGTCCCAGTAGCCCAGTCAGCCCGGGCCCCTGGCATCACCTGTCGCCGCTTGCGGCGCTGCGCCGCCGAGCCCGGGGGGTAGAAGACCTTGGCTCCATCGCGTCTTGAGGTTTGTACCACGGTGTTCAGGTGCTTTGCTGGCTCGTGGCAAAAGACAGGATACAAGAACAAAAACTATTTCAAAAAATGGGGGGGGGGGTATTTTAAAACCAACTTCAGTCATGAAGATGGTTGAAAACTACTACGAATGTTCTACCAACTTGTGATTACTTGCAGCTTCAAGACTTTAACGTTGTCTGCTAAGCTTAATCCTTTGGTAACCTTCAAGATCTGAATTCTTTACAGCCCGAAGACTTGAAACACGTCTCCAGGTTTCCAACGCCAAGAGACCACCAAAGGCTGGCCCAGACGCCCGGGCACCAGCTGCTCCGGGTGCTCGTTCCTACGGAGCCAGTGGTTTGTTGCGCTTCGTTTCGCTCACCGCTCACCCAGCACTTGTGGTTTGCCACTGAAGTGGTCCAGGCCCACTTCTGGGGGCTGGAGGCTTGATGGGCACACAACTGCACAAGGTCTGAACCTCAAAGGCGCCTGGAGCCTTGCGGCCAACTGGGTAGGCCGCCCCCTTGGGCGTGCGTCACAGCCCAGTTGCTCCACTTGGTGTTGGCAGGAACCAAGATGCCTAATCACGGTTGCAAGTCTCGGGGGTCAAAGTTGGACCCTTAGCCTGACATTGTAGCAACACTCCGGTTGGTCGATGGGGGGGAGGGGTCTAGTCCAGGAGCGCACCACACTCCGATGTTTCACTGCAAGCTGAGTTGCCACTCAGAGTTGAGCCCTGAACCAAGGGGGTAGGAACCCCCGGCCCGAAACAGCCAAAGATCCTTTGCCGGAGGAAAAAAACAAACGTAGAGCTTCTCGGTTTCAAAATGGGCCCACCGAGGCAGGCCTTCCAATTCGTTTTGAGTTCCCCCCCGAACTGCCCAAACCGCCCGAACTGCCCAAACCACGTCACCTGGACTGGTCCAGCAGGAGCAGTCGAAGCCGTTTTCGCAGCTGGCTGTTCAGCCTCACTTGCTGCTGCACAGACTCCCACACCTCCCGGCCATCCGCGCAGGCCTTGCACCCGTCCTCACCAGGCCGACCGCTTGGCCGCGTTCGGCGCACACAAACTGTCGCAGGACTCGGTTGGCCCATGGCAACGTTCAAAATCCTCAAAGCCGTCTGTCCCCCAATTCGAGGGTAGGGCAACGGGCCATGACATGCTCCAAACAGCAAAAACCTATAAGAGCATGCGGCGTATGAGGTCCAACGGGGCAGACCTGAACATATTTATCCAAGAGCTCCCTGCCTTAAGTTGGAGGTTTTAAGCACATCTTCACAATGTGTTTTGACACTATACTCGTGTAGCACTTGCCGCCACTGGCACAATACATGTGTATTGCGGGGGCGCTCCAAGCGAACGGGCTCGTCCAAACGTAACGAAAAGGCTGTTTTTTCGTGCCTTTTAAGACTGCCTTAAGATGCCACAGTTTGGTTTGTGTTCCCCACCGGGGGAGCCCTGCAACAAAAAAAACTGTGGCTGCTCTTCTGACCTCCCTTAAAACCAACCTGCAAACGCACAGCCATATGAGGAGCAGGTTATCCAGCGCCTGCCCTGCGGCTTCCCGATCGAACGTGGGCCACACCACACACACACACACACACCTTTACTTGGCTGGCTGCATAAATCCAGCCGTGTAAACGACACCAAAGGGTCCAACCAGTCAAAATTGAATCCCCCATACCAACTAAAACCAGCCCCAACTCCAGCTCCGATCTCCTGCGGATCCCTGTAGAATGTTTCCTGCCAAAGAGAAACAAGACCAAGTTGGCCAGGTTGGGGGGCTTGGGTTGGTCGGCCGCATCCCCAGCATCACTGGCCTCGTTCGGACTGGGGCTGCTCGGGTGAGTGTTGGGCTTGCTGAGGTCTGAAATATATATGGGCGGGTCTTGGGTTTGTTAGGCTTGGCAAAGGGCTGATATCCAGGATGCGCTGTTGGGAGGGTTTAAGGTTGACGTTGAGTCGGTTTGGGTTGGCTTGGGGCTGATTTGCGCGAGGGTGCGCGGCCTGGTTTTTGCAGTAGCTTTCGGGCTGCTTCAGGGCGGGGTTATGCATGTTTTGGGCTGGTTTGGGATTGGTTGTGGGGGTTGCCCCAAACCACCCAAACCAGCCCAAGACTTGCTCAACCACATCTCTAAAGCAGCCCAAAAGCTACTGCCAAAACGAGCCGCACACCCTCGCGCAAATCAGCTCCAAGCCAACCCAAACTGACTCAAAGTCAACCTTAGACCCTCCCAACAGCATCCTGGATATCAGCCCTTGACCAAGCTTAAATGAACCCCAAACAAACCTCATAATACAACCTCAACCAAGCGCAACACTCGCCCGAAACCAGCCCTGAGCAACTCTGAACTGCCACCAAATCAAAGCCAATGGGCAGTCCTAGTCCGAGCGAAGCCGGTGATGCTGGGGATGCGGCCGGTTAATACGCAGCCCTGACACCACGTAACTGGGGATGCTTGGGGGATGCGACCCAGCCGACCGACCGACCGACCGAGAAACCAACCAACCAACCAACCAACCAACCAACCAACCAACCAACCAACCAACCAACCCACCAACCAGTCCCCTGGCCGGGGCTAAGCCCTGAGCCGGGGTGCCATCTCCAAAATGGACATTATACCGGTGTTGAGGTTCTGCGCAGCAAAAGCATGGCAAGCCCCTTGCCGCCCCACAGCTTCTAAACCTCCCGCATGGTCCCGTGCAGCCCATCTCCTTTGGGTCGTTCACAAAGACCACCGCCACTCCGAGGCCCTTCTCCGCCCCGTAGACCTCCCGCTCGAAGTCCCCGGCGCGCAGCTCGGAGGGCAACGAGGCCTTGCCCTCGTCCAGGGAAGCCCAAAACCTGTGGCTTCCCGAAACCAGAAGGAAGCAAAGGAAAACCTGACCACGAGAAACGGACAAAAAGAAGGAGTCGGAAATGGTGCTCACTGCCCCCAAACAGAAGCTGCCGGAACCAAGAAAATTCATGCGGTGCACAGCCGACTCCAAAATGTGTGGCTTTTCTTGTGGAAAAAAGAGTGATGAACTACTTCCCCACTAACACGGAAACGACCCCTGAGCACGGTGCTCCGGATTTTTCCGAAACATGTTTGAGGGGTTTTGGGCGTTGGTCCACCTCAACCCACCGATTAAATTTAGAGAATAGGTTTGAGGATGTTTGTTGTACCATGTGTTCCGTTAAAGGGAAATCAAACGGGAGACCACTTTTTTGGGGGTGGGTGGGAGGGGGGGGTCGCCTGGAACACGTTGCTACATTACCAAAGGGTAACCAAGAAACGTGGGCAGCGCTCGCTCGTGGTACGCCGCGAAGAACCCGTCCACCGCTTCTTGGGTGAAGTTGGTGAGCCTCCAAATGCCCATGGAACCCGCAGCCGTCGGGGCGGCCAATGAAGCAGACGGAACGAGGAACAATTTGGGAGACCCGGATGGTCTCTAAGAGATGGGTCACAAATCAAACCTTGTACACTCAAATCAAAACCTTGTATTGAAGTGGTCTACCAAAAAACGAAGTAGGCAACTTGGGTGAGGACGGACCGAAAGTTGTCGCAGTACAGTGCCAACGCTGCCTTGAAAGGCGGCCTGCTTTCAACTTGCAAGTTTCACAAATCAAGTAGCGAAAACACAAACAACACTCGACCTCCCTCAAAAAAAGAGAGAAAAAACACATCGGCCTATACTTCCTGTGGTTGCCATGGAAGTGGTTGTCTACGTCCCCGCCATAGCCCTGCAGATCCTCGAATAAGATCAGCTCCGCCTCCAGCGACTCATCGAGCCCCACCTGTCGAGAAGATGACAGGTGCCCTCAAAAAGGACGGACCAAAACCACCGAACGGGAGTAAGGTGAACTGTCTTCAATGTTCCCACCCCCCACCACCCCACCTCCCTCTCTTCCCAAGCGTGGTTGCGGGAAATATCCCGACA